AAATGAGGAGAAGAAAATGGGTATTAGCTGTGAATGGATTTGAAGTTGAAGATGAGTGTTTCATTGGATTCCCTTCCCTTTCCAAAAGGACCAGAGTGATACTTACTTCTTGAACACTTTTTATCAGGTTGGAAGGTGAGAAAGACCATTTGCTTTGAATGTAGAAGTCATCACAGATTTCTGAAAGCTTCTGCATTTGTGTGAGGAACAGCCTGAAGAATTTCCAGTGTGTATAAAATCATTCAAGTAACTTTCAGACTTGAAGAAGAACATACAGAGTAGGCCACAGCTCAGCTTGAAATCATGTATGCTGCTGTTATTCTTCATAAAATACTGTGGTGAACATAAGCAGTAGACAGAAATTACTTTTTTAGCTTCCCTAAGTGGAAGTATTCATATTTGTGAGGAGTCTTTATTTTGTGTGAGTGCTCTGAATAAAGCAGGTATTGTTTTCATCTTGAAGCTTGAATCGTGTTTTCCTGGAAATAAAGCTGAGCATTAGGAACTTCTGGGTCAAGTGGAACAGTGCCACCTTTGTCATTTGGCCATTATTGCTTGCAGCTTTCAAAAAAATCTCTCTGTACTTACTATATTCATGCTGTGCTGTGCTGACTTGCACCACTAGGAAAAAGAGAAAAAGAAAAGTTCATGGTGCTGCTCTGGTACCGCTGCACAGCAGTAATGCCTTTACTTCAGGAGGACCTTCTGTCTGAAGAAATCAGAATGCTTTTGTGACAATTAATCTGTACAACTCTCCTGTGAGTATTCCTTTTTTTCAGCTAGGAGAAGTCAAAGCCTTCACTTTCTTCCACAGCTTCAACAAAATAAAACTCCAGTATCTGCTTCTTCGTCCTTTCATATGACTCAAAAGATTACTCTCTTATCGCTATACTGTAAACTTTTGTACTAATTATGTATGACAAGTTTCTTAACTATTTCAAAGACTCATGACTTTGAATTAAGGATAATTTGGTAAAGTGCTTAAGGATAATAATGAATTTAAGCATAAAAAGTGATCTTGTGTTCAGTGGGATTGTTTACGTGTTTAAAGCTAGGCTAAAAGTGGAGTACTAAAAGTGGAGTGCATTTTTGAGCTGAGGTCTGAAAAGTGAAGCATGTCTCCAGAATATTAATCCAGACAGCTTGCCATGAGAGTGAACTAGCTATTGACTTGATAAATAAAGCCAACAGTTTAATGTTTTATGTGAAACAACACTGTAATACAGACGTTGCTGTAAATATGTTTTATAATGCACTTGGTTCCTGGTTTTATTCAGTGTAATGTCTGAGCCCCAGAAGTCATAGTTGGCTAGGGAGAAAAGAGCCAAGAGATTTGTTGTTGCTTATCAAATACTGAATGTGAGGAGAGGTTTGTTTGGGGCTAATGAAACTATTCAATTGTGAGAAACAAGCTGTAGAACTCTCCCCCACCCCTCTTTTTTTTTTCCCCCTTTACAGCTGACAATTTCATGTGGCTTTTGGTTATTGGTGTATGTGATTAAAAAGCTATTCAGATCTGTTGAGCTGGCTAACGTGCTTTTCACTATGCGGTAATGCGTCCCAGTTGGATCTGCATGAGAATGCTCTTCTGATGGTCTTTTTGGCACCTAACCACTGGGGTACATGTGTATAGTACTATTATTTTTTGAAACTTAATGATTCAGCTTTCTCTATCCTCTGTAGGTATTAAAGAACAGGTCAGACTTCTTTCTATGCAGAGTGCAACTTTTTTGTTGGAGGATTTCAATTTTTTGTTGTTTTTTTTTTTCCCCAGTGATTTCTATCTGTGAAAAAATACCAACCAGCCTTAGAACCATACCCTGCAAGGTGCTCTGAGTGTTTAACTTTATGATCTCTTCAGGGCATGTGTGTCCTATAGCCAAATATTAGCCTGAATTGGGGAAAAAAAAAACACAGAAAAAGCATGATTTTTCCAGTTTACACTGGATTATTTGTATCATGGAAGCCTGCAGATAGTTCTGTTTTTAGCTGCCATTGCCAATATTTTGCTGTGGTTGCTTTTGCATTTGTTTTTCCTTCTCCCTTATCTCTTGAGGACCTAGTAGCTGGGATTGTAGAAGTGTATCTGAATTGATTTCATCGTCTATTTAATACTAGAAACCAGAGAGTTACTGTGCATAACTGCAAAAGCAGACTTAAAATGCTGAAGTTACTATGTTCTCAGGACCTGGAAAGCAAATTACAAGACTCCAAATTCATTATTAACAGAATAAAAATAAATTCTGTGATTTTCAAAGCAGTTTCACAGTTTTCGTAAGTGAACAATTGGAAGCATGGTGTTACTATAATCTGTGTTTTCTTAACAGAAATTTTTTTTAAATGTTTCTTGTTCGTTGAAGTGATTTGAGTGTGCTCACCAGGCACATGGAGGACAATCAGGGGATCAGGCCCAGTCAGCATGGGTTCATGAAGGGAAGGTCTTGCCTAACCAACCTGATTTCCTTCTACGACCAGGTGACCCGCCTGGTAGATGAGGGAAAGGCTGTGGATGTTGTATACCTGGACTTCAGCAAAGCCTTTGACACAGTCTCCCATAGCATTCTCCTGGAGAAGCTGGCAGCTCATGGCCTAGATGGATATACTCTTCGCTGGGTTAAAAACTGGCTGGGTGGCCGAGCCCAGAGAGTGGTGGTGAATGGAACTAAATCCAGTTGGCGGCCAGTCACAAGCGGTGTCCCCCAGGGCTCAGTTCTAGGGCCAGTCTTGTTTAATATCTTTATCAGTGACCTGGATGAGGGGATTGAGTGTGCCCTCAGCAAATTTGCAGACGACACCAAACTGGGTGGTAGTGTTGATCTGCTTGAGGGGAGGAGGGCTCTGCAGAGAGACCTGGACAGGCTGGATCGATGGGCCGAGGCCAACTGCATGAGGTTCAACAAGGCCAAGTGCCGGGTCCTGCACTTTGGTCACAACAACCCCATGCAGCGCTACAGGCTTGGGGAAGAGTGGCTGGAAAG